CCTGAGGGCATAGGTTTCTATATGGCATTTCCTGAACAGCTGAGCCCCGGCTAACCCCCGTCTTTTCGCTCTCCTGCCATTCCACGGTTCGTCCTGTCCGACATCCGTGACAATGAGATCCTCACATCAATTTGTTACTAGAAAGCCCATGAACTAGATGGGCCAAATTGCCTCATAACTTACACTGTAGTTTATTTTCTCCTCATGCTCCTTTTTGCAGCAGGAGAAAACACTGGTAGGAAGAGACATAGTATTCTGTAAATAGGTTAAAACTGAAAGAATGAAAAACTGTGGGAATGCAAAAATGATTGTTTTCTTTAGGGATTAAGACAGAAGTGAAACAGTGTATTAACCTTATATAAAACAGTATTAGCAATTACACAATTACAGTGTGTGGGGTAGTGGTCAAGGCTCTGAACTTGTTATTGTAGGATCAGGACCTGGGTGAGGCACTGCGATTGAAGCCTTGAGTAAAGTACTTCATTTGATTGATTTAAATACCCCAGATGCATAAATGAGTGCAAATGTAAGTTATTTGACCAAATAACCAAAAAAAACAATTATATAAAGTGGGGAGGAGAACAGGTGATAGAGCAAATTTATAAATGGGGATTATTAGGTGGCCATAATTGGTAAATGCCAATGTGCAATTTGGCCTTGTTGTGATAATATCCCTAGTCTTTTTGAGAAATACCCTGGGATTTTTGATGACCACAGAGAGTAAGGACATTGGTTTTACGTCACATCCAAAGGATGGCGCTTTTTTACAGTTTTACATCTCTGTACTGAGGCATTTAGAACCCACACAGACTGCAGGGTGAGCTCTACTAGTCCCACTAATACGTCTTCCAGCAGCAACGTTAGCTTTCCCAAGAGGATTCCAATCCAGGTACCGACCAGGCTCACACCTGCTTAATCACAGTGGGCTTGCAGGGTGATGTAGCTGCTGGCATCAGAAATGCATGTATTTTTATCATCCTATATTTCTTTTAACAGTGGACATACGCTGCAAGGATCCCCTTTTGATTAATGTTTTTGCCGTTGTTAATGGCAATTATAAGAGTTGCTAGAAATTCTATGAATTTATTGCAGTTATGATTTATTAATTTAGTTTTCGTATTCTAAAACTAAGGGAAGATATACAGTATACAGTATATATTTTTATTTCTATGTTACATGGTTGCTGTCCCAAGACTGAAAGGGAGGAACAGTTCTTAACATCTAGACTGTAAAAATGCTCTTTATTTCCACTGATGGAATTTGAGAGAAATTTCATTAGTATTGTTTGGGTCATTGTACAAAACCATTCAAAAACGTTTAGCTTGTCCTTTGAAAAGTCCTTGCTGTCCTGCTGATCTGTCCATTTTCCCTTATAAAGGAAATTCAGTCTGAGAAAGCTGTGGGTTATGGTGTTGTGGAATTTCAAAAGAAGAATCAGAGAAAATGAACTGATGCAGCAATCAATATGTTATTGAGGTTCATCATAAGTATTAGGGAGCTGATCTGAATTCCTGTCAGTGTTTACACTAATGTTAGGAGTATGACATTTCAGAGAAGAAAATTTGAAAGAAAGGGACAGAATTTTTATGAGCACTATGGATGACTCAAACTAAATTCCAAGGTTATGTTGTTTTTTTCAATTGCTCTAGGGAGAGGGTTACAGAATTTCAAGTCTCTGCTATGTACTCTCTTTTTTCCTGCCCTAGAAACCTCCTTTAAGCCTATGCATGTTTGTATTACTCAAATTATTACCTTTCAGCAACCATATTTAAACAAATACAGAAAAGTGTATATATATAATATATGCAGCATAAAATGTTTATGAAAAGCAAATTCTTTCCAATGTACCCACAGATGAGGTTATCAGAAATTATTATTTTCCAAATTATTTTCTGCTTAATTATCTAAAAAAAAATTAATAACATTTGAAATAGGCACCAGAGGCTTCAAACATGAATATGAACATGTTTCTGCACTACATTAATATTGTCTTATCTACCACACTTAAATATGAATTTCACTCTGTGTAAAAACAATTTTCACAAGGCTAGTCATTAAAAGAAACGTTAACCATTTCATATTTGGCATGGATAAGAAGATGATTCCCATAAACAAATATGTGTAGATACATAATTAAATATGTTTTGTGAAATCCAAATATTTAACTTCTACTTGCTGTAATTAGTAACTGTCAATACTAATAATGGGTTGCCTAAAACAAAAATAACTTATAGTTCCAAAATAAATGCGAACAATAGCTTCCAATACCAGAAACTGCAAGGTGGAGAAGATAAGATACTCTCTTTTTTGTCTGTATCTCTTAATCTACAAATTAATGCAAGTCTCTACATTTAAAATTTAAATCACACTACTCTGAGCACTTTTAATATTTCACCAAGTCATTTTTGAACAGCATTATGTAGAAGAAAAAATGTAAATGTTATAGAACAGCCTGTTGTCTTGAAACAGGAATAAAATTCAATAAAAAAGTGGAGTTTGTTCAATTTGTACTTTCTTAACTTTTTTCTTCCTTTTGGGACTACAAAATAAATTCAATCCAGTTAACCTTAAAAAATTCCATGCTGCAGGTTGGTGATTTGGGACACACTGCATTGGAATGGGTCCAAGGGGAGAGGAAAGCACACAGAATGAATGCACAGCCCATAGTAAGATGTATCATTTTTAAAGCTTCAATTCATTTCCAGTGGTGTCCAAAGAAAATCTTTTCCCCTGAAACTAGTCACATCTTATAGCTCAGCCCACTGAGAAAATGTTACAGTACTTGATAAAAATCCTTGTAACTGTTTGAAGAGTGCAAAGCTCCACAGAAAACAGGTCTAACAATACATTCCCCAACTGCACAATGAAGAGCAGTACCATTATTTGATACGTCTGTGGCAAGAGAAATTAGAATTGAATGCCTTACTTAAACTGTGGCACCACAGTATATCCACAATTTGCAGCTTGTGTGCTCACTAAACTTCACACATACCCTGTCATATAACCCCTGATCTAATAACCCTAATCAAACTGTTCCTGTGAAATATAGATTGTATTTTAAGGCTTTTCTGCTTACATATACAGTAGGAAGGAGAGAGTGCAATAATGGGTTAGATCCTGATTACCTTTGGAACTTGCTAGGGGAGTTTAGTCTAACGTATAGTGGCAATGCTTATTAATAAGACAGAATTAAGTGTTGCTATGCTTTTCCCAGTGAGGCCCATCTCTCTCATCTCTGTGGTCCAAACCTTTTACTTGTTTCTTTGCAGCCTATGCATGCTGAGGCAGCAACCCACCTGAACTACTTCAATTTATATTGTATGTCAATAAAACTGGAACATGTTTCTAGAACCTGAATAATGCTATCAATTTTGACTTTCAAAAGAGGCATGAGAACAAAACATGTGAGAAAATATACTCCTGTTAAATAACACACACAAGCAGATTCAATTAAAAGGATCTTAAGTTTGCACTTAAAAGAATCTGCAGTTTCAGCATTCCCAATACTGTCTGTAATGGAGTTCCACTAGCACAAAGCACAACAACTCCAGCATTCTCCAGCCCCAGCCGCCTGAAGTTGAAATCTTCACTTTGCCAAATCAAGAAGCAATTAGGAAAATATGAAATATCTATCCACTGAGGACTTAATATATTCTTTCTATAGCCCATAAACACACATTACTGTACGATGTGGATGTACTAAATATACATGATTGACTTGAGCCAGCAGTTCATACCTGAATGTTCTCTTTATAGTATATTCGACGACATGCTACCAGGAAGCCCAGCCCATTGCTCTCCCCCTCCCTTTTTACTGCAACAAGAGGAATGCTGAACTCCCACTGGCTCTTAAGTCAATCGGGTCCAGTGTCGAACCCCAAATCAGTCATTATTCTTCACTATAGAGAAACTATACAGTGTCCATCAGGGCTCTGTTCTAGCTGGAGTTTTTTTAGTATCAATATGTTAGTTACCAATGTGCTAAAAACTCCCTAGATATGACAACAGCTTTCATTTCTAAGATGCCCAAATTTATGTTCATATGACCCCTAGCTTTACTCAAGCATTCACACCGCTTAGATAATGTTATAATGTTATAATTTGACATGATCAAATTTATGCTGACTATCTCTCCTCATGAACTTTGCAAATGTATTTGATAATTGATGGTCCTGGAATTAGTCCAGGTTATGTATCAGGTCAGGTATCTTAAAGTTGCCGAAGCTAATTTTTGCAGTGCTGTGACGGTCTATTTTGTTCTTCTTTTTAACACTGTATCTGAACACATCTCTCCCAGTCTGATGCAGAAAAATGAATACATGTTTTTCCAAGCAAGGTTATTTGAAAGCAATGCATGCTGATGCAGACCATCTAAAATGCATGAGAATAAAATCAACCATTTTAAATTCCTAATACCTTCTCCCTGTGGATTTAGATTAAAATTCAAAATACTGCTGCTTGAATGGTTTTAAGGGCTTGAATGATTTGGCTCTTGTCTACATACAGTACCATAATCGTGAATTCACTGAACTGATAACACCTTATCTAGTACACCTAGTTTCCACTCTGCAAGGTTTTTGCAAGTGTCAGATCTTTCAAGCCAATCAGCACTTTTAAAACCTGTCTTATAAGTCACTTTCATACTTAAAAGCTTTTAATTATTTTCATCTTACTGCATTAATTTATACATATCTTTTTTGTTTGATTGCTTTACTATAAAGCTTTGGTGTAAAGTCCCCAAAAAGTTGAGGTACTTAAAGTAAAGAGTATTATTAAAACAGTGTACCTAAGTGTTGTAAATTTTAAACACAATAACATTTTTATTAATAGAATAATAATAATTTAGGTTAGTAGGATGTACCATGACAATCACAATATCTGCATAAATGTAAAAATTAAAAAGCTTGTTTTAGAACTTAATTGTGGAAATCTGATGATAGAGCAGAGTGAAAGATCCATATAAAATTATATTTTAAGAGTTGGAAGCATTTTCTACTTACTGGGTATTTGCTGGATCCTGTGGACAACCACAAATGCATCTGAAAGTCCCACTTTGACAGGGTGATTTACCGAGCTTATCTGTGTTACCATAACTGGAATCTGAGAGAGAACATAATGAGAGCATAAAGAGACCCATCTAGTTAAGAACTGGATTAATACATAAACAAAACGGATGCTTTCCAAGACTGGAAATTACAATGGTATGACTTCCTGAAACACATACAGTATGGTACAGCATTATTAGTACATAAGTTAAACATGCCTCCAGTTGAAAGTTGTTTTCAGGGGTATCAGACAGTAGTGGTTAGGGCTCTGGAGACTCAGCTGGAGAGTTGATGGGGAACTGGGATCAAGTCCCCACTGTAGACACTAACATATTCTTGGCTTTTTACCTTGATGTTTCCAGCTCACCCAGCATTGCTCAGGATAAGCCTGAAATAGACAGCTTATTCTTGTTCGGGGTAATGTCAAGTTTGCTTAACCCTACAGAGACCACAGTTAGCTCTGACCTTTCATTCTATCCAGTGCTCTTAGACATTTCCACTGAATTTAATCATATGTTGTATTTTTAGGGTGTGCAGTAGTAATAGTGTTTCTTGCCAGAGTTGGCATAGATCTTTTCACCATGTATAACTCTCAAGTATATATTTTCATTAATACTTTTATTACAAAAACAGAGTTTACATTTAATTAATAATTGCTTTTCCTCTAATCTTACATTGGCTTTTTGGAAAAAAATAATTTATAGGTGAATTCAGCCTTTAAGCTCCCAATATTGCACATTTAGAGGTTTTATCACTACCATGCTATTTTCAACTGCTTTTGAACTAAAAAATCATAACCTATCTATATGTTATCAATATACTATAACATAGTATAGTGGTTATTCAACCAGTAGTCTGCAGCAGTTGTCTAGATCAAATTCAAAGAACAAGGTGCATTGAACAGCACTACTGTATGTTTACAACCATTGCTCAAAGTTTAAACAAATGATTGATTTATATTTATCTTTTGAAATGTCACTATTTCCACATTTTACTACAATTCAGTGCATAAAAAAGACAATTACTGTAGTAAAGGTTTAGTAAATAAGTGAAAAATTGTTTAAGGTTATTCATTTGAGTGGTTTTTAATTTTAATTTTATTGTTTAATAGTTTGTTCTTGTGAACAAATTTCAGTACTCCTATTTTACTTCGAATTTGTTTAAATAAGGGAAGGATCTAAAATCTAACGGGGCATCAGCATTCCTTAGAGCTACCTAAAATACATTAAATCTCTTTGGAAAGACTTTGACAATTAGTTTTCAGTGAGACACCTGCAGAGGAATATTAAAAAATTCCTTTCATGCACTACAGATTAAAGATTGAACCAGTGTCAGTATGTCAAGGTCACACATGACACTAGTTAACCCCACTAGTTCTTTAAATTTTAAATATTAAAAAATGTATATCCTTACTGTTGCAGCAACAGATCTTAAAACTTAAAATGTGGCAAATCTTTAAGAATGAGTATATAAAACAAGATATTTTTAGAAGTAACCTGAAACAGAGAAATCTAAATAGTAATGTAGCAAAATACTGGTTAAAAGCTATGTAAAACTGGTGAACCGTACTAAGGGAAAAAGTACTATTTTTAGCTGCTTCCTTTGACTACATATACACACAAACTCAGTTTTCAAAGTCAAAAGTCAGTATTGTTTCCTATAGCTTTGTGATTAGACAACGCACCAGTTAATTTTGATGCACATAATTCACTGCAGACCTGACGAAGGTTCCACAGCCAAAACATTATGTTTCTTTTCTTCTCTTTTCAGCATGGAATAAACCTTTACTTGTTCCTTTATATCTAATATAGTTATATGCTATTGTAAGAAACATAATGCAAATTATAATGAATGCATTCTGGATTTTAAAAATAATAAAAAATGCATTAGATTTTGTATTATTCCCTCTGCAGCGTGCATTTCCCAATTCATTGCAAGTCTTTAAAAACGTATTAAAATTTGTCTCCATGGTGATCATATTTAACACAGTCTGCTCACAAAGGAACTGAAAAAGTCCTTTTCACATATGGTTTATTTGAGAATGAATTAATTCAAAACTTCAACTCCCTCACCAATATAAAAATCTAAAGTTTTTTAGTGCCCCTACATGACTGCACACAATCACAAGCATGCCAGCCCAAGACCAAGTGGACTCAGAAGAGGGAAGGACACCACATATAAGCCATAATACTCACCTCCTTGTAAGCGAAAACTATGCGCCCATCACTGTGCAGTGTAGCCTGGAAAGTAAAACTTCCCAAACTGTAGTTGTCTTGTAGATGAACATGGTCCCACTGAACCACCAGAGCCGTGCCTTGAAACAGAAGGAAAACTGATTAGAACAACAAATGAATCTATAACAGAACAGCAGTACTAAGAAAGTTTTGCAAACTGAGAAAGAGAATATTTTAATATTATATTTTTATAATCATACAAATATAACAATAAAATATTTAATCTTTGGCCCAAACCAGTACACACAGAGGGTCGACTGTATCAAAGCTGTGAGGAACCTTTCTTGCCATTTTCCTTAAGTATAACTGCAACCCCTAACCGAGAGTCTATCTGACTTGCAGGTAAGCGCTGAACCTGAATACTCATTTTGTTGCCGATTCCAGCCACTTAAACATCCACTCTAATTGACTTACCAAACCAACAGACTGAACTAACCGGAAGACTCCTCCTGAGTTTTTACCCCATTTAAAGAGAAACTTAAGAAGAAAAATTATCTGTTGGCCACACCTACAGTAGTTTCTTTTCAAAGCTTAACCTGACAATAACATCCCAGAAGGACAGCCTCTCTGTTACAGGATAAAATAACAAAACAAACTTCTGTTTCTGCTCAGACTGTAAGCAATCAGTGATAGTTCAACATTCTATCTGCAGTAATCAATTGTACTTTATGAAGAGATGCAAATACTGATGTAAAAAATAAACAAGATGGGTTGAGAAGAAAGGTTCACGTTAAAATTAATATTTTTTTTCTCATTCATATTGAATTCTGTTTTGATGGATGGAAGGACAGTGAGATACACAAATTAATGAAAGATATGAACAATTCAAAAACATTATTATGACCATGCCTTTTCTGTTGCTGCTCCTTTATTTGGAATGCCTTTCTTCTGAATCTTTGAAAGGGAAATTATTTGAATCTCTTGAAATCTAAGCTCAAAACTTACCTTTTTACCAGGATCTATGTCTAACCACCCTACTTTCTCTTCTATATGTTCCTGTATACATTTTTTTTTTACTTTTTGTTGTACTCTTCTGTGTTTTTCCTTATCACTATGTACAGCGTCCTTGGGTTTGGAAAGGTAAAATTAAATAAAAGCTCTCATTCTTATTAAGAAAAAAAATCACAATGTGATAAAATATGGCACCTTAGAAAGTTCAGTTCAGAATTAAGAGAGCTCACTTCAAGAAGACAGATTAAGATAAAAATGCTTCCAATACAGAAATGCCAAGGTGATCTCATTGTGAACCTAAATGAGAATAATACAAAATAATTCACTGGAAAGTATAAAAGTACATAAATCATAGTGTAATCATAGAAATCCCCCAAAACAACTGGGTCTTGCTGTGTTACAACCTGTGGTGTAAGGTGTACATACAGTATGTATTAAAACTCAGGAAAAGAGATTCAGCTAAAACAGTGCTGATCACATATTCTAATTATAGTATGTAATCAGGGGTTCACATAATTCTAAAGTGTTAGTGTTACTTCTACAGATTTGCATACTATATTAAAGAGTTATGAGAGAACATCCTATACTGTATATCACACATATCTTGTGTCACAGTGGATCACAGCTAAACTGGGTGATGTATGTACTGTAGCATCTTGGGCATTTAAAACAGTACCATGAATTGCAAGCATCTTCTTTGATAAGAATCATTCTAAGAAACAATATAGAATGAAACCTTTTCATGCGCAATATCAGTCTTCAAATATGAGCTGAAGTACATAATGTAAAAGGCAGAAGGATGTTAATAAAACCCATTGAGAGTTGTATAGTGTTCTGATCAAAACGTGGGTTCATGTTTTGCAAATTCCTTAGTGATTGGACATCTGTATTATAACTGCCTATCAAGTATTTCAACAGTATGTGCAAAGTTCATTGCCAAAGCTCAACTATGTTAACTTCAAATATCTGTAGCTACTTAAAATGTATTGAGTTCACAGAGAATTCCAAGAACTGCATTCTCTTTTGGGTCTTTCCTCACTCCCAGTCTCTCAGTCAAAATGAATGTATTTATTGACCTTATTTTTCAGCTGCTTAATTTACATACTAAATCACTTTGATATGACCATTTCAGGGAAGGAAAAGGAGAATACATTGGATAAGTTGTATGTTTATTACATGTGTAAAATAATCATATTGGAGGCACTGCCATACTGTTATTTTTATTTTATTTTAATTAGAATCACCCAACAACTACTAGCTCAGTGAAAGAATCATTCTTCACTCATATCATTGATATACTATATGAAGAGAAATGCACACCTCACCAGTCGTTCAGCATTCACAGAAAAAGGAAAGCATGTTGGACTGCTACTATAATTATCAGTTCCCCTTTGAATATTCAGCAGCTGTGTTAGGAATGAAAAGATAACTTTCAGGGGACTTATAAAAGATGAATAAGCATTCATCTCTATCCCACTCCCTAGCTTTTATTCACTGGTGTTATGGCACAACTCCCAATAAAAACTGTATGTTTATTTCCGTTCACTTATTAGAACTATGTAGGTGAGTGTAGGGGAATATTTAATCTTGATAGCAGGTTTGTGACCGGTCAATATTGTATATGTTCTTTGTTCAAGTTCTTCATAGACAAGCATTTGTTAGGTGATTGGTGCTTGTACCATCAGTGGGTGGTTTGTTAATAGCACCACACCTTCAAACTCTCGTGAGAAAAACCCACAAAATGAACTGACATCAATTCAGATAGAAAATCACTTGCCTGTAACTCAAGAACACGGGGCACGGACCTTTTCAAGGTTTACTCAGTGTAATTTATACTGTCACGACCAGGAAGTAAACCTACATGAGAGTATCATTCCCATTGCAAAGTGTCTGTAAATGTTAAGAGAAAAATCCAGTAAGACAGCTTTACTGTGTAAACAGGCCCAGCCAAGAGGGTAAGAAGGGCTCATAAATCAGGTCACACTGCATTTACTGGAGAGCTGAGTACGGGCTGGATCAGCAGTAGGTCCTGAAACATTAAAGCCAAAGGAACATAGTAACCATATCCAAATGCCAGCTGAACATCAAATATAGTTCGAATTAATGACAAATACAGGGTGAATTACTGTAGGAAACTGGCCTCATTGTGCAACATCAGCCTCTGTCTGTGAAAAATTCAAGAACACTAATACTGTATGATGTACTGTAATGGGCACTGATGAATACATATTAAACACTAATGAAAAACAGTAAAATGATTTGTTACCAAATTAATAGGTAAAAAAGTCAAGTACTGAAACATTATCAATAACATATCAGGATAACTGGTTGGACTTTTGACAACTGCTACTATAAAAAAGGAGAAGAAATTGAGGTGTAGAGACTGTAAGTGCAGAAAATATATTGTCTGTTGTGAATCCTAAATGACCCATATAGAACACATTGTAGTAAGATTCACGTTTAAAAAATTCTGCACCTAATATTTTAGCATCAGATTCTGCACCTAATACCGTATTTTAGAATGGATCAGTATATTTTAGCATCAGATTTTGAATGGATGCTTTATTCATTGTACTGTAGCTCAGTCAGTGTTCCAAAACATTTGAAAATGAAGTGCTGTTAGAATATTGCGATTCTGGCTATCACCATGAAGTGTGTTAAGTTTTTGTGATTGTGTCTAACCTGAGAGTTACACAAGATAAGAATAAACTGTGCCTTATCATATCATATCTAGTTTTATCTTCTATATTAATTTACAAATACGGCACTATATTTTATTTTGTCTTTCAGAAGGAAACCCTTATCCTTACAAATACGCATCATTCCCCATTTTCTGCATATGCAGTATATTTTAAAGAGAATGGATATAGTTCAGTAATCTAACTAGTATCATCTTACCATTGTCAAAATAAATAACAGTGGAATTCCTGGAGACGCTTGGGTCAAAGTTTGCCATCAGTGGAGCAATGTACTGGGTGGCTGTCAGCATTCTGTGGACCACGTCGCCTGTGTAGATGAAACCTGAAACAGACAGAGCAACAAATGAACCTGTGGCTTTCAATCCCAATGAATTAGCCACAACATCCACAACTAACAGTACAGGGAAACTCATCATCAGCCGTACAAGCCACATAGTCCATCAGTTTTTGGACAATGTTTCATACAGCAAGTCTCTACATTGCACATCTGTATTTTTGTCATTCAATAATGTGTCAAAACCAGCTGATAAAGGAGATTCCAGGACACATGACACTCATAGTCTTTCATCTTCAGTCACTTGTTTTAAACAATTTATCACTTTGGTAAAGTTGAGGTCAGAGAACTGCTGAACACTGAGGTGGAAAAGAGGTGTCAATGAAGAGAATATGACCTCAAATGTAATAGTCATAGTCAGTAGTAATGTCACCCTGCAACTCACAACTGGCAACCCACCGAACCACAGCAGGTGTGAGCCTGGTCAGTACCTGGACTGGAAACCTCCAGGGAAAGCTATGGTTGCTGCTGGAAGGAGGGTTAGTGGGGCCAGTAGGGGGCGCTCACCCTATGGTCTGTAAGGGTCCTGATGCCTCAGTGTAATGAAGGGGACACTATATTCTGTTAAAAAAAAGGCACTGTCTTTCAGATGAGACATAAAGCAGAGATCCTGACTCTCTGTGGTCATAAAAAAATCCCAGGGCATTTCTCGAAAAGAGCAGGGATGTTACTCTTTTCAAGAGTGTCATGACAATATAGCAAAAAAAAAACTACTGCTAAACTGGCAATTAAAACGCTCAACTGAGTCTGTCAAAAGCACTGAAGACCCCCACAGCAGAGAAGCGTGCATTGGGCTTGGTGTTTATTTGGACTCTAGAGATTGGTTCCCCCCTAAATTATATGTAAAGCGCTTTAGGATCCTCTGGGATTAAAATATACAAGTATATCATTTACTCTATATAAAGTAAATGTGTGTTTTCATCAGCCTATAAACTGCTATGCTTCCAGGTTAAAAAAATAATTCAAACCATTGCATTTCACTGTCAGTAGCAAGACAATACAATGCCCTATAGCAACTACTGCCATCCTCTCATGTTTTAGCCTTCTGTACATTTTATATTCTTTCAAACATAGATGGATGCTGGAAGCATGACTTCATAATGAATAAAAGGATACAAAAGAAATCTGCCTTCTTTTCAAATTGAATTGATTATACTTTTGTGGGGAAGGAAAATGGCCTTTTTGCTAAAAATGTCCAAGCTTAAAAGGGTATATTGCGAAGTTGCTGATTTTGTACGGCATTGCTCCCCGCTAATAATAAAATTAGGGTCAGAAATGGAATTAATAAACTGATTTCTGAGGGAGCTTCCACAAAGACTTGGCGAGCAATTGCTTACAGCTTTCTGTGCCCCAGTTTAATGCTATTGTAGTGATTCAACTGCAGGATCTATACTTTTCCAGCCTGAATGCTCCAGGATCCCATTTCCTCAATCACTTAATCTTTTTCAGCAAAATGTGGCTTTGCAGTAACTGTTTCCATTGTATAGAAAAGCCAAAGACAAATGGTTACAGCCTATCCAACTGATTACTGTACTATTTAAAAAGTTTGAAAAATAAACATGACTTAAGATTCTGGAATCAAGCAGGCACATGTCAATAAATTAACTAACAAAACTACTGTTTGCAATTATTAAATTAAACATGGATATTCATGGATATATTTACATATATTTACTATATTTACATAGAGAGACAGAGGAGACACATGGACCATATTAAAGCAAATGTAAAACTGAATGTTAAGTGTTTAAAAAAACACTTTTTGTACAACAAAAACAAAACAAGTAGAAACAATGTTTCTCCTCTCAGCGCAGTGGAATGAAATACATAATTTCACAGAAAATTAAATATGTATTCTTCAGTTGGTAATAAATAAGTATACCATACACTACTGTTCAAGTAAAACAGTTTTCTAGGCCATACTGTTTAAGCTGCACCCACATCAACATCTGTTGTAAACAAAGGAGCAGTCAGTTTTCTAGACTGTAATCAGGACAGCACCCTGAGTCTCTGTAAGAGGTATGAAGTTTTTTTTTTCTCTAGCAAATATAATAAATGTAATTCTTGAGAATGTCAAGATGTTATGATTTTTCTATTTTTGTAAACATTTACAATAAAAGAGAATGTTTGAATCACAGAATTTCCAGATTTGACGGGACAGGCACTAAGGCATACAATATACAATACTAAGTTAAGCAACATTATATTAACTTAAACCTTATACATTATGTCAATGCCAAGTTTATATTGTACACAGTGCTGAAAAAAAATGGAAAAATATACATATATAATATGATGTTTTTAATCTAAATCTATGTTTTTTCTTAAAACTGAATTTATGTTTGTTTTTTGTTGTCCATTATTAAACTGCACTTAAGCTGCATGAATAGATATAGAGTGGTTTGACAACTTCTTTAACTCTGACTATAAGCTTATTCCACCACATTAAGTGGGCTAAGTGGTAATAGAATGAGATGCTCAGTGTTATTCATTTTCTGCTACAAGAATGGATAAAAGTCAAATCTAGTAAAGTCGAGGCAGAAGCGAGGTGGGAAAACTATATCTGAAAAGACTGTGAGGGCAATTTCATGACAAATAACAAAGTATATAGTAAAATTCCTTCCTATAGGTTTATTTATATTTTTTATCATAAATGTAGAATCATAAATAAAGGCTTTAAATCATAAGTCCAGGATGTATCCTGCCTTGTGCAGTTGGTTGCTTGGATAGGCTCCCACTTCCCCACAACCTGATGAAGCTGTTAGAAAATGGATGGCTGGAGCTTTATTCCACAAATGTTTGTTTGTTTGTTTTTTTCACAAATCTGCAGCTATATACTTTAACAACTGTGTGTGTTCAACCATAGAACTTCTACCTGTCATTTGACACACTTATTAACTCAGCATGATTTTAAGACTCCTTAAGACATTGGTATTCCATAAAAGACCATGTAATTTTTTTCTGATTATGCGATAATGATAGCCTAGCATTCTTTCTGTTCTGATTACTCCATTTAATAATGAATGAGACAGGAACAATTAAGCAATCAATACATGCTTTTCCTTAACTTTGATCTCTACTGTCATAAAAAGATATTTATGACATCATGAATTATTTTAACACATTTTGAAGCCATAATAGTTCCGCTGTTGTGCACAATATAAAGTAAGATATCACCCCTTTACTCCTAGAGGGTGCTCTACTTCTGTCCTGTTCCTAGATCCCTGTGATTATTCATGTCTTTCCGGTGTGTCTCCTCTGCTCCTGGCTCAGCTTTGAGGGTATGGATGTCCTGAGACCCGCCTAGCACCAGGTCGCTCCTGTCCATGGCCTGAGGCCATAGGTTTCTTACTGACATCGTCTGACCCCCTGAGCCTGGGCTAACCCCCGTGTTGCCCATTTTACCGCTACGCATAGGGTCTTTACTGCTCTCCTTGTCATTCCACGGCTTGCCCTTCCGACATCCTTGACAGTAAGACTTATAAGTAAAACACCAAACTCTTCTTCTGAAGCATTTCCAACCAAGATTCTCTGATGGTGCCATAAGCTGAAAAATGCTAAATATTAGGAATTAATTAATGCTAAAATATTACAAATGTTTTACTACTCACTACTACTACCACCTCCAATTAACTTCTCATGTTACTTTCTAGTTTCTGCTTTGAAAGCCATACTGAAAAGGTACTGTAGCAAAGCAAAAATAAATCTGCCTTTTCTTTCTTAAAATTTATTTTTTTGTATTTTATAGGCAACGAAAGCCAAATGCACCTGAGTATTTTCAAATTTGAAAAATGTTTAATGTGCCAATTAGAGAAATTAAGACATTTATTATTCTATTTTCCCCTACATTCATGTCACCATTTGGACAACTGCATGTATTAAGAGCAAGCTGATAAATATGTGACTACCTAAATTACTGTTTTATTAGACTGCGGTTATGGCAGAAATTGTTGTCAACAGATTCTCTAATACAAGTACCATGCACAAACCTTGCTATGTATTTTTTTAAATGCCTTCTTACTGTACATACAGTAAATAATCAAACCACATACCAGTGTTACATGAACTGATGCATTTAACTTAAAATGTTCACTGGATATGAATATGTTCATATGAATATGGTTACACAAGAAAATATCAAATATCTCCACAAATACTGTGGCAAGGGTTTTACAGAACTTGCTTAAACTAAGAAAATACAGTGTTTCTAAGACAGGAGCTAACTACAAATGAGCTACTCCACTACACTGGCAGAATGACTTATGACTTATGTATTTGCTCAGAGATTTATGATTTTGGAACATAAATTGAAATTCAAGCAATTACCAATTGCATAATCCATGAATTCTAAATTCATTACAGCTTAGTGGAAGACAATCAATATCACAACAGAAAACTAATCTTTAAAAGGAATAATATAACAGAGTTTTAGAAATAAATAATGCATTTTAAAATTCCCTAGAATAGTATCACTTTAAATATAGACCCTTTGCATTTTTTTTTCTTAAATCTGATATATTGGTAGTCACAAATGAGCACAGTTAAAATTAATTTACATGACGCAATTATTGGATTTCTGGAAGCTTGGAAGGAAGGAGATGGAGCAGCAATATTTCAATTAGGAAAAAAAAGTCTTTCATGAAACGGCTTTCATTTTCTTACTGCATGATAACATAAATCACAAACTCCTTCGGAATGCCATGCCGTTATTAAGTTCCTATTAACTTAGATAAGCTATTATTTTGAATAACTTCAAGATCTTTAAATTAATTATCACCAACTACTAATTAAGTGTAACTGGCTGGCACTTCTATACAATGCAGCTTACATTTTTACCCATTTATACGACTGGGTATTTTACTAAAACAATTCTGATGAAGCCATACCTTGCTCAAAGGTACAGCAGTGTCTCACCTGTGATTTGAACCCACAGCTTTCTAGTTACGTGTTGAGATCTTCTTTAACAAAAATACATAGGTGTTAGAAAG